TGTGTACTTTGTAGATATGTCCTAGCTGCATGTTAACGTGCATTTTAACGAATGTTGACAATTACGAAAAATTTGGTTTTTGGTTAAACGAATGTGGAATATGCGCTACAACTGGGCGTATGTGTATGTGTGCTCGGTCGAATCTGTGTGGGTGAGCGTGCGTGTGTGTGTGAGAGCTTTTTTCATATGGCCAAATTTTGTTTGAAGTACTTGCATGAGCCTTTTTTTTTGGGCTGTGGCTCGCTGCCAAGCAGGAGAGCATCCAAACAGAGCGATTGAAGTTGTAATGGAGTCGCTGGATTAACAGCCAAAGAGAGCAGCCAGGGAGAGAGGGAGTGAGAGAGCGAGAGCGCGAGCGTGGAAGAGAGAGGGATTGACAGCATAGGGCTTGGCTTAGGCTACAAAACGGGCAAGATTATATGAAAACACAGCCAGCACACACTCTGGCAGCCGGGACCTCCGTCGCGACGGCAGCACTCAAAAAACAGGGTGAAGCCCAATGCGCAGGCGCTGCGCAGCATCTGCGCGATGCTGGCGACAAAGCGACAAAGCAGCACGAGAATGGATGCTGGCGCCGCAGTCGCAGCGACCGCTTGGCCGAGAGGGCCAAGGCAGGCTACAAAAACAAAACGCACGTCAGTACGAATTCTGTGAATATCTATGCAGGACAGCACGGAGCRAACGGCGTGCAAAAGCTGAGCCACAAGTGAAAATACAAATAGTCTAGTCAGTTGAATAGCTAAATATTTGTCAGGCTGTGCATACAAATATTCAAATAAAATTGATTGTTAATTTATTATTTAATTAATCATAATTTTTGCAAATTTCCCTGTGCCACTGTCAAATTAAATTATTTTGTATAAAAATAGTCGGCTCGTGGACAACATCAGTTGCATGGGTGCAGCTCAGCGCTAGGCACACGAGCTCTGTTCCAGCTCAGCTGCTCTGCCGCTCAGCTGCTGTCGCTGCCGCTGCCTAGGCTGGCATCGCAGTCGGAGCGAGTGCACCTCATCTGCGTCGGCGCTGGCGCTGCGCAGCTGTGCGTCGAGTGTAGAGTTATTGCATTGGCAGTTTTAGCTCAACGCAGGTACTAAAAGCCGAGGCGAATAAGAGGAAAACTCGACACGGAGGCTACTCTCTGAACTACGTCACGCACGCCAGGCAAGACCGAAAGGTAAACAAAAACCTGTGCGCGTGTTTTTAGTATCAATAAAACACCGGCCGAGCGCCTTCAAGGCAACCGTCGCTGTGACGTCATGGGGCGCTGGGCTCGGCCACGTCTGACCGTCCTCCTGGACATTTGGCGGCACTGCAAGCTGCTCTGCCTGCTGTTGGCCTTCCTGCTGGTCTTCTGCGAAACAGTGCAGGCCAATCCGGATGCCAAGCGACTCTACGACGATCTGCTAAGCAACTACAATCGGCTCATACGACCCGTCAGCAACAACACGGACACGGTGCTAGTCAAGCTAGGTCTACGCCTCTCGCAGCTCATCGATTTGGTAAGCCAATAATGCTGGAGCGTTCAGAGGCTCGAAAGCACTCTCCAAATAATTAATGCAATTGCGAAACTTGGACGGAAACACATTAGTGTACGAGCTGAGTGCCCAGCTCTGGCACGATTCTTTTTTAATTAGGCGCTTCAATGGAGCACTCTGGCGACGTTGCGCCACATTTACCCGCGTCACTTTATCGAGTGTGGCGCAAAATGTAAACGGCCGAGCAGTGCCACTAACTTTCAATCGTAAACATGGAAAAAATAGAAAAATAAGACAGCAAGTGAGACACGCCCCGAGCCGTGCGACAAATGTCCGAATGGTTAAAAGCCTAGGCGGGGAGGAGGCTACATTTTTTTGCAGATGTTCTCTTAGCTAATTGCTTTATCAACTTAATTAGATGGAATATTTTTAAGTACGCTGACAATCACAAAAACATTATTTGTTGGCTAAATGATACTGAGCTTCAATATCCCATATTAATTGTTAATAAAATAATCTTATTCCGATTATAGCAATATAAATATTTTCTTCTTATATGCTCTTAAAAATGTGTCATATTAAAACATAATCAATATTATTACATTTTGCTCAATACATTCAATTTTATATATTTTCAAACAAAACTGTGCTGCCCTAGTCTAAAAGCCATTTCTTGTTTCAAAGTGCTAATGTGATATTATGCTATGCACATTGCTTAGCAGCTTGACACTCAATTTATAAAGCATATCAACAGAAATTCATTTCAGTTGCTCAGTTGCAAAATAAACTATTGCATACGTTCTCGTAACGCCAGCTTAAAGTTCACGACTGAGCATTTGTCAAATGTCGTGCGGCGCAGCCAGAGCACACAGTGCAATTACTGCGGAATACTTTACTGGGCTAGTGGCAGGGGCTGGGCGGGAGGCGGTAGACGGTAGACGGTAGACACAAAGTGCCGCTACCACGAGGCTTAAAAGGTAATAAAACAAGCCAAAAATCCAAAAACCGTAAACTGACAGCAAAAAGCACATTAGCGGCAGRGCAGAGTACACTCWGCCTCCWGTTAGAGGGGCAARKGGAGGCCGATAGGGGTAGCATGCAAGCMGACAGTCAGCCAAACAAACAGACAGACGGAGAGACAGAGAGACAGACCCAGGGACATAGGACACAGGACATAGTACTCGCAGTAGCGGAGACCAAGTGTAAGCGATGTAGGAGGTAGAGCCGTAGCAGTTGCACCAGAAAGGAGCAGAGAAAAAATGCAAATCCTGCTTGATGCATGGTCGTCCTGTGTGCGCTTGTATATCTAAAGCGCCGGCTTTAATTTTCTCCTGCACACAGAACCTCAAAGATCAAATTTTAACGACCAATGTGTGGCTGGAGCACGAATGGCAGGATCATAAATTCAAATGGGATCCATCCGAATATGGTGGCGTCACCGAGCTCTATGTGCCATCCGAGCACATCTGGCTGCCCGACATTGTCCTCTATAACAAGTGAGTCCACCCACACCAACGCAAAGCTAAAGTCAAAATCTGAACTACAGTTTGCATTCAACTGCCGCAGCGCTGACGGTGAGTACGTGGTGACCACCATGACGAAGGCCATTCTGCACTACACGGGCAAGGTGGTTTGGACCCCGCCGGCCATTTTCAAATCATCCTGCGAGATTGATGTGCGCTACTTTCCCTTCGATCAGCAGACGTGCTTCATGAAGTTCGGCTCCTGGACCTACGACGGCGATCAGGTATGTCTACACACCCATACCATCTCATTCCATCTGTGTGCGTGTGTGTGTGTGTGAGCAATGGGGCGTGGCATTGTGGATTTATGGGCATCCATTTATATGAGCGTTGAGCGCGCGCTTACAAGCCTAAGATGCCAGGCGAACATCGAAAGGGCGTCGGCTGCGCTGCAGATTAAAATGTGAGAAATTGTAAAAGTGTAATTGAAACTTGTCTAACCGTTACCGTTACGCACACTCCCCCACACACACCCAGCCAGAACTAGAAATGGAAAAGAAACTCCCGCACCGACCCACTCGGCTCTGTGTGTCTCTGTCATAAAAATACGCGGCCATAAATTAAAACAAAGTGCGACTCCCCACAAACCATTGCCGCTTCCGTTTCCGCTGACCGGACGTCGCACAGTGGTTGAGACTACAGGAATTATCAGAACACATTTTCACAAAATAAAAATGTCAATAGAAATAATTTTATTTTGGAATATTATTCAGCATTTTTTAGGTCTATATTTGAATGAAACTAACCAACGAAATTTTGCTAAAATAAAGCATTTAAACAATATTGAATTATAGAAAAAAGTTGTGAAAAATGTTTAATAAACTATTGCTGTCAAAGAACTAATAGAGCCTAATACCAAAATCTCAGGTATTTAAACGATATTCAATAAAAGTCCCACAACATTTTATAACTATATAAAAATTCAGTTGATTTGCCATAGTTAAGGAAGTATATTCCAACACTTTGCTATACAATTTCGGTGCTTTCGTTCCACTGTGCGACTTAGTCATTGTCAACGCATTTAAATTTGCTACTCTTTTAACGACTGCACTTGAGCCTTAACTCGWGGCAGCTCAAGGCGGAGCCGAAGATGTCGCCTCCAGGCGACTACAATGCTGACGAGGTGATGGGGAGAATGAGTTGGATGTGACCGTCGACGAGCGTCACGCCCGCTGGCTTTAAGTGCCTTTAAGCTTGATGCGATTTATGACTCTTTCAACGGCGCTCTCTTTGCAGATCGATTTAAAGCACATCAACCAGAAGAACGATAAGGACAATAAAGTTGAGATTGGCATTGATTTGCGCGAGTATTATCCGAGTGTGGAATGGGACATATTGGGCGTGCCCGCTGAGCGCCACGAGAAGTATTATCCGTGCTGTGCCGAGCCCTATCCCGGTGAGTTTCGTAGAGTTTAAAGCTCACACTTTGCTCGCCAACAAGCGCACGCGAAAGCTCTACCCAAACTCACTATGAAAATCTTTACTCCAAACCCGAATCCAATCTTCATGGATTCCATCATCGTGTCTCTCTCTCTCTCTCTCTCTCTCTGTCTCTCTCTCTCTCTCTCCTTGTCTTTCTGGATCTCTTTCTCTCTTTTGGTATTTCATGCTGCTCTCGCTGGCCTTGATTAAATGTTCAGACATATTCTTCAACATAACGCTGAGGCGAAAGACCCTCTTCTACACGGTCAACCTCATCATCCCATGCGTGGGCATCTCCTATCTCTCCGTGCTGGTCTTCTACCTGCCCGCTGACTCCGGCGAGAAGATTGCGCTTTGCATCAGCATTCTGCTCTCACAGACTATGTTCTTCTTGCTCATATCGGAAATTATACCGTCAACGTCGCTGGCTCTGCCGCTGCTGGGCAAATATCTTCTCTTTACGATGTTGCTGGTCGGGCTGAGCGTTGTCATCACCATCATAATACTCAATATACATTATCGGAAGCCCAGCACACACAAAATGCGGCCCTGGATAAGGTCCTTCTTCATCAAGCGACTGCCCAAGCTGCTGCTGATGCGTGTGCCCAAGGATTTGCTGCGTGATTTGGCCGCCAATAAGATCAACTACGGATTGAAGTTTAGCAAAACCAAGTTCGGCCAGGCCCTCATNAAAAGAGAAAAATTACAGCTAATGAAAACAATACCATAAAAAAGAAGAAACAGGCGAAATGTGTGGGTAGAAACGAAGCCTTTGAAATATAAAGAAGCCAGACTTGATGAAGCAATGGAATTTAAAAATAAAAGTCACGCACTTAATACTCTTCTTGAGTCCATTTCCGAGTCCCTTCCACAATTCGACAAACGTCCCATCATAGTGTGTGCTTCGGTTATATAGTCGGGAATTAACTTTCTCTTGCAGATTCAGTGGCTTGGTCGGCGCTCTGGGCGGTGGGCTGAGCACACTGAGCGGCTACAACGGACTGCCATCGGTCCTTTCCGGCCTGGATGACTCCATGAGTGATGTGGCGGCACGCAAAAAGTATCCGTTTGAGCTGGAGAAGGCAATACATAACGTCATGTTCATACAGCACCACATGCAACGACAGGATGAGTTCAATGCGGTGAGTTCTGCTGCAGCTGATTGAATTTTTAATTGAAAATTCCGTTTGGCCGGACGATGACGACAACGACAACGACAACGACAACGACGCCGACAACGACGGCCACAGTAACGCATACGACAACGATGACAGCGACAGCCAATTGGAAAAGTAGGCGCTGGTGGTGCGGGTACTGAGGCTGGAGCTTCAAGTGAATATGGCTTGACCATAGCCGAAAAAACCACAGAAAGCGCTTTGAGCGTTTCTTCTTGCCATTTGTAGTGGTTATCGATGTCTGATCAGCTCAGCTGTTTAACTAGTGCACCAGCCAGTCGGACTCTCTCTCTCTCTCTCTCTCACACTCTGACTCCGTCGAACTGTCCCTGTTTTGGTTTCATTTCTTTCGACTTATTTAAGCTTTGCTATATTTGCACTTTAAGACCACACAAAATCCACTTTGAATTGCTTTTGTTCAATTGACTGGCAATTGGCTGGCAACGACTCCATCCAACGATTCAATCAAATCCAGCAGCCGATGCTTTGTTCTCCATTCCAGGCGCTTGTTTTTTGATCCATTTTTATTTGCTTTGCTTTACTTTGGCTGTTCCCACAGTTCTTTTTGCTTTGCCATTGGAAGTTCATTTTGATTGATAACCAACTGGGCGCTGGCCGTAAGCAGATTAAGCGTCAGTGCTTAATGAAAGCAATCGCTCAAAGTGGAGGCTTAAAACGTGCTGTAGTTAGTTTGCCAATATTACTCATACGACCCTTTGTGCAATTTAAGCACACAATTCGCTCATTCAACTGATGAGAATACAAACATATATATACATATATTTATATATATAATCTGTGTTTATGCATCATGAAATTTATATTTTGATTGCACTCAATTGCGGTAATTGTATTTGGTTTTTATTCAATAACAGGAGGATCAAGATTGGGGCTTTGTGGCCATGGTCATGGATCGGCTTTTCCTCTGGCTATTCATGATTGCCTCGCTGGTGGGTACATTCGTTATATTGGGCGAGGCACCTTCGCTGTACGACGACACGAAGGCCATCGATGTGCAGCTCTCGGATGTTGCTAAGCAAATCTACAATCTAACCGAGAAGAAGAATTAAATTCAATAATACAATCCAAAAATAGTTAACACTGCGTATGTATATCTCTATGTCGTGACATGTAAAGCCTGCCTGATTGCAAGCCCTAGCTTAAAATGTGTTTTAAAGAAATTAATAAAATAAAATAAAATAAAACAAAAAACAAAACAAAACAAACAAAGAAGTCAAGCAATATGCTAAAATGCACCTGTGGTCGCCCGGCTACGGGTGAGCAGCTGGCGCACTCTGATGCTGCCCGGGAATGTTTTCAGTAATGCAAAAATAAAATATTCTCTGCAGCTCGTCGCACTTTCCATACACTTGCACCACTTTCGGGTATTTCAAATATAGAGAATTTATTTAAAGAAAAAAAAAGCAGAATTATTTCTCTAAGAGCACATTTCGTTGATGAAGTCGCTTTGGTAAGTAAATACTATCAGACCTGCCCAAAACTCGCTGACAACATCCACGTCAGACTCCACGTTGGCAACGACTTCAACGAGGCCAAAGGATTTGCCGCGGAATGTGGGTTGCTATGCGTTGCCTTTTATAACATAACTGAGAAATTAAGCTTTTTGAAAATGCGCAGCAAACGAGAGCAACCATGTGGAAATAGCTATCAAGGCCACTGGAAAAGCCAAAGACTCTAAGCAGCAGCAGCAGAGCCCAACTTTGACAGTGTCTCAAAAAGTTAAGCACCAACAGTTTTAAATGTTGCGCATATCACAATTTATTAGAGTGTGTGCCTTTTGCAGTTTATATATATTTTCATATTTATAGATGTGAATTTAGTTTTATTTAAATGTTAAAAATATTTTTATAA